GCGTGGGGGCGGGGGCGGGGGGGAGAAAAGGAGGTGGTGTGAAAAGTCCCCTAGGAAGCTCCAGGTCCTTACTGGCTTGTTCTCAGGTGGACCCCTCCAAAAGAACGGCTTCTGTATCCATTCTTGGAATGTCACTAAGGAGCGCACACCGTGGGTACCTTGCTTAAGGTGACCGGAGTTTGGGTTGGTGTGGGTACCGCATGCAAATGGATTGGGCACTTTTATGGACAAAAAAGAGATCTGGGAGGAAGAGATGTTTATTTCCAGGAATTTGAAGGGCTCTTAAACAGAAGAGACTTCAGACTTATTTGGTGTTATGGTGAGTTGTCACTGAAGCGGAACTAGACCAGTGGTCTTCGTAAGGGTTAGCCATCCCGGTTTACAATGAAAGTATCTCTCGTGGCGCTCTGCCAGTGAGTGTGTGGACCCTTGCTTGCCTTTCCCGGCACCTCTTTCCATCCCTCCACTCTCTCTTTCTTCTGTTGCTTCTTCCAGGGTCACACACAATTACAGTGCAGTTGGTTAGTACTACGCCCACAGGTACGTCTCCTCTAAAACATCCCAGAGGGGGACCCATATAGCCAACCCACTGGTTTTATGCGTGGGTTGATGAATTTCTTTATCACCGCTCAACAAATACTTATAGTTCCTACCACATGCGAGTCTAACACCATGCTCAGGCCTTGCCCAGGAGAGCACGTCTCTGCCTCTCAGATAAAAAGCTGCCCGGGGCGCCTGGGTGGCTCAGTCGGTTGAGCGTCCGACTTCGGCTCAGGTCACGATCTCGCGGTTTGTGAGTTCGAGCCCCGCATCGGGCTCTGGGCTGATGGCTCAGAGCCTAGAGCCTGCTTCTGACTCTGTGTCTCCCTCTCTCTCTGCCCCTCCCCCATTCATGCTCTGTCTCTCTCTCTCTCAAAAATAACATTAAAAAAATTAAAAAAAAAAAAAAAAACCTGCCCAGAGCATTCCCACGGTTTCTCATCGTGGCGTCTCCCACCCCCACGCTTGACTGGAAGCTTCTTCACAGTGACAAAGACTGCCCATTTGGTAGACGATCGTGTGCGTCTCTAATGTCCAGCACAGAGCCTGGCATAGCAACACAACATTGTTGAATGATGATAGATAAATACATTAATGTATGCAAAAAGGCAACGGGTCTTCTGTCAGTTGAAGGATTTTGCAGAGGCTGACTACCCATCCCATAGAGGTCTTTTAGAAAAGATGTTCCTCTTGGACACATACGCACCACCCCACCCCACATCGTAATTGCTGACTTACTGAGCTCACTTCCCCATTTGACTGTGAGCCCCTCGAGAATGGGAACAGAGTCCTATTTGTTTTTGAAACCCTACACGGTAAACATAGCCCCAACGTTTGGAAAGTGTACAAAAAGTCTATTTTCTGAGAATGGACTCTTTACAGAACAAGCATACTGGAGCCCTGAAGGGGAAAAAAATGGCAATAATATAATTCACCTGCCCTACCAGGCTACTAAGAGTACCTTGGTAAATATTAGCCAATGCACAGCCCTTTGCTTGCTGTTAAGATTTACTGATTTCAACAGAAAGTAACTTAAAAACTGTACATGTTATACAACCCAGACACCAGGGCCGATCTCTAACCACCCAATGGTACAACAAATACATATTGGCTCTGTCTGTGGTTAGATTAAACGCCGTTGTCTAAGCAAAGTAGGCTATGTGCTGAGTATAATGGGTCTGCCATGTGAATGATGGGTTTGGTCAAGGGGTGGATTTGTCCTGTATTCTTACATTCTCTGGGTATAATTCTTCTCACTCTTTGAATAAATAAACCAAAAGCATTGGCTCACTTAGTACACGTCAAAAGTACGTTCAGTAAATGCCAGATTTTATGAAGTAAGTCCGACAATAAAGGCCGCTTTTAAATCTGTTTCTTACCTGACAGGGACTATTGTATAGAGAGATTATCATGGTGTCTTGTTTCTTCCTGGTGTCTCTTACTTTCATCTTACAAATATGTACTGATCTAAGTCTACATATTCACGCGTATCTTTGCGAACACTTGGAGATCTCAGTATCTCAGTGTGTTTCAGAGAATAGGCTGAGAGATTGACGATAACTAATTCTTTCTGGTGGAAAGCTAATAGGCATGACCTATGAGAAACAGTAAGAGAGCTATATGGAGCGTGGCAAAGGAGAGGAGGAAAATGCTGGAACTCAATCCATGCCTGCTGCCCAGAGACCTTGGCTGGGGGTTTGTCATGTCTTAGCATGACGGTATTCAAGCCATGTGAGGTCTGAAAAAAAAAAATACATACCCAGCTTGGGGCTTAGTCTGAGAACAACCAATTGCTTTGGTTTAAACCACACAACCCCACTATCAAATTAAGCGTTTTCAAGCTAATATAAATTAGCATCAGTCCACTGACCAATGCCTGAAATAAATTAGGCTGAGTCTAAAAGAAATCAGCCTGCATACAGAGGGCAACTCTCAAGGCCACTTCCTTGCTTTCCCCAGGCATGGAAGCTCCGGTTTGGAATATGCTTAGGATGCTGGTAAGTGCAGATGGTCTGGGGGAAAGTTTTATAAGCTGACATTTTTGTTTGAGCTCTTTAAAAAGCCAGGAAGATATTTTATTAGCCATGCAGGCATGGAAACCCAAACGGATCCAAGAGATAAATCAGAGGGCACTTGCTCCCTTTACGGAAATGTTCTTTATCAAAATGAAACGAACTTGAGACTGGAAGAGAACAGTCATGAGGAAGAAAAGCTCAGAAGTTGCGTTTTTGGAGCCATCTCTGGAAATGCAATGCGTGATGGAGAGAATGTGGATTCACTTGATAAATGTTGGCTTGGGAATTTAGCATTTTAGGTGACATCCACTCTATGAAGAGCTTTTAAAACAGTGCGAGCTTCCATGAACCCAGGAAAGGGAGAAGTCCCCAGTGAATGTAAGCCAGGTTAAACTATGTGTGTGCAGAGAAAGGAGAGAGACTGGGGAGGGGGTAGACTCTTCTTCTTCAGTGTGCCTCACCTGGGACCAACCCTAAGAGTCTTTGGGGACTTGAGGTCAATGAGGGTTGGGTGGGATGTCAGCAGGGCCCTCTGAGTGTGTGCACTGCTGTTTTCTCTCCTGGTAGCATTTTCTTTTTTTATATCTTTAGAACTTGTCCTCAAAATTTCAAATCACCACAGCTGTGGTTTTCTCTTCACTACTTCTACCTGGTGTTGGCTTCTTGTGTTTTCACCTGCTTTAAGGCTGTGAGCAAAACACTGTGGGATAGGACTTTTGTTTAAAATTTATCACTAAGTTGGTTTCGCTTCCCAGTTTGTATGAATAAACACATTTTTGAAGGGGGTTTTGAAATCTATTTTAGAAACATATTTGCATTTAATTAAAAATACCACGAAGACATTGCTAACCATGGTGGACACACCTTGGGATGGGGGAGGGCACACCTAGGGGAGAGGGAGTCTAGTGTTGATGACCATGGGTTTCATCACTGTAGGCTGTTTAGGGGAAAATCCCTTCACTTTTTGTGCTATAAACTGAAAGTCACAATAATGTCATCAACAAGAAACCATTGATCAGATAGTATTTTGAAGAGCTTAACCCATTCACTGAATTATTCCATTTATGTTTATTGAATAACTAGTAAGTGCCCATAGACTGTGCTGGCATCTGGAAGAGAGGAGTGAATAAAGCATGGTTCTAGCTTTATGGAGTATTATTGAAATCAGAGCTCCCTTCAGCTTAGGAGCAGGGAAGGAAGTATGAGATATTGAGGTGACCGTCATACTATTCGTTTTAGGAATCTTGGCATACCGTGGAGAGAGACAGGAAACAAGTTTATAGCTCTATTGAGAAAACTTCTGAGATCATATGATAGGACTTGACCAAACCATATTGAGGAGCCCTGTTCTAAATAGTCTCAAGCATTAAAGGGGGAGAAAAAAAGGAAGTTGACCAATATTTGTCTTAAAATGTTTGAGGCATATCTGGCTTTAGAATATAAAAGGTAATAACTGAGATGCAGCCTGGTAGAGTCTCCTCTGGGCTGGAAGCAGGGAACCTTACGTTTTATGTTTTCAGTTGTCACCCTGCCACCGGTTAGTACAAGGCTTTGGATAGGTCCTTAAAATTTTCTGGATCTCAGTTCCTTCATTGGACAAATGAGAAAATTTAATTGGGTCAGGATTTCTTTTGATAGTGAGTAATAATAACAGTGTATAAGATGCTTTAGGTAGTATATTGATGAGCCTTTTTTATAGTTATTTGTTGTCGTATATGACCAAAAATGTAAATAGTGCTTCCAGCACCTGCTTTCACAGATATTTTTGCTTAGCATAAGGCTAAGTTTATTAAAGGAGAAAGAGTATTGATTTAAAGAATGATATCAAGGGGCGCCTGGGTGGCGCAGTCGGTTAAGCGTCCGACTTCAGCCAGGTCACGATCTCGCGGTCCGTGAGTTCGAGCCCCGCGTCAGGCTCTGGGCTGATGGCTCAGAGCCTGGAGCCTGTTTCTGATTCTGTGTCTCCCTCTCTCTCTGCCCCTCCCCCGTTCATGCTCTGTCTCTCTCTGTCCCAAAAATAAATAAACGTTGAAAAAAAATTAAAAAAAAATAAAAATAAAGAATGATATCAAATAAATCACAGTACAGGACATAATTGGTTATCACAAACATTTTTCAGTTTGTGTGCCACTGACTAAGGGCAGGAAACATTTGAATATATGCCCTTTTAAGTTCCTTCCACTTGTATCTCTGTGTAATTATTTTTCTTCTTCATATTTAAGCACTATGGTGTCCTAGTGGAAAGTTTTTACCGAAAATAGTGTTGTGGTATCCAGAATAAACTGTTAGCTTTCCTAACTTGATCAGTAATTGAGATCCTTTTGAATGGTCTTTCATATATAGTTAGCTCTTTATGTGAGTCACCTAGTCCACTGCTGCTATAAACATAATTTTGTTTTGCTTTGTTTTGTTTTGTTTTGTTTTGTTTTTGATGTGTTTCAGATCAGAGTGCTGACAGAAAGAATGTTCAAACATCTTCGGAAATGGTTCGTCACTCACTTCTTTGGGCATTCTCGACAAAGAGCGAGGCTGGTCTCCAAAGATGGAAGGTGCAACATCGAGTTTGGCAACGTCGAGGCACAGTCGAGGTTCATATTCTTTGTGGACATCTGGACGACTGTGCTTGACCTCAAATGGAGATACAAAATGACCATCTTCATTACAGCCTTCTTGGGGAGTTGGTTCCTCTTTGGTCTTCTGTGGTATGCGGTAGCCTACATTCACAAAGATCTCCCTGAGTTCCATCCTTCTGTCAACCACACCCCCTGTGTGGAGAACATTAATGGCTTGACCTCAGCTTTTCTGTTTTCTCTGGAAACACAAGTGACCATTGGATATGGATTCAGGTGTGTGACAGAACAATGTGGCACTGCCATTTTTCTCCTTATCTTCCAGTCTATACTTGGAGTCATCATCAATTCTTTCATGTGTGGTGCCATTTTAGCCAAGATCTCCAGACCCAAAAAACGTGCCAAGACCATTACATTCAGCAAGAATGCGGTGATCAGTAAGCGGGGTGGGAAGCTCTGTCTCCTAATCCGAGTGGCTAATCTTAGGAAGAGCCTCCTTATTGGGAGTCACATATATGGAAAGCTTCTGAAGACCACTGTCACTCCTGAAGGAGAGACCATTATTCTGGACCAGATCAACATCAATTTTGTAGTTGACGCAGGGAACGAAAATTTATTCTTCATCTCCCCACTGACAATTTACCATGTCATTGATCCAAACAGCCCCTTCTTCCACATGGCAGCAGAAACCCTTCCCCAGCAAGACTTTGAATTAGTGGTGTTTTTAGATGGCACAGTGGAATCAACTAGTGCTACCTGCCAAGTCCGGACGTCCTACGTCCCAGAAGAGGTGCTCTGGGGCTACCGCTTTGCTCCCATAGTATCCAAGACAAAGGAAGGGAAATACCGAGTGGATTTCCATAACTTTAGCAAGACAGTGGAAGTGGAGACCCCTCACTGTGCCATGTGCCTTTATAATGAGAAAGATACTAGAGCCAGGATGAAGAGAGGCTATGACAATCCCAACTTCGTCTTATCAGAAGTCAATGAAACAGATGACACCAAAATGTGACAGTGGCTTTTCAACAGGAGTAATGGGAAGTCTTGAAGATATCCGGTGACTAGAAGTATGACGAAGTGATCGAAAATTTGAGGGTATGAAATTAAGACAAGAGCCTTCAACGTCTACCAGCACCATGCCCCTGAACTCCATAGCCATGATCTTGCAAGACACATAGCTCTACGAGGCACCTGCATTAGAACATGCAATATATTTCTAGAAAACTGCAATATGGAAGCCATAGGAATTCACTTGGAATCTTGAATATGATTATTTGAAATCATGCAATGTTGATAGAAACGGACAAAATCATCGACAGTTTCATGGACAGGACAAAAAAGATCTTAAAATTCTCCTTGAAGAAGTTATGAGCTTTAGATAGGATCAGAATTCTTATTTAGATTCTACTGATAAAAAATAAGCCACTTTTAACATTGGCTTTTGTCAAAGGAAAAAAAAAAAAACAGTCTCCTGAGGATGGAGAGAATGAACTAATCGAAGATGGCAAGAAAAGACTGATACTCAAAGAACATCTGAGGCTCTGAGCTTCTCCAGCCCTGGTTGTTGGAGCTTTGGTCCTAGTCTGGGTCATGCCGTGTTTACTGAAGATCAAGAGGAGGCTGAGTCCACGGACTCTCCATCTCTATGTATCCAACGTGGGGAGGAGCGCTGAGCTCCATCTACTTTCTGGCCCCGCCAGACACTGCAGCCCAAGTTCGGTCTGGGCCCAAACGATCTCACGTGGTACGTTTAGACAGAGGCTAAATCACCACTCTAGAATCTCAATGAACACCTTCCTGCAAGGAAGAATGCTTGATTTGAAAATGGTGATGTTATTTCTTCCAGTTTGTGTGAGGTGGGGTAAGGGGCTATGAATTGGGGTAAAAGAGTATTTCCTGATCTTCCAAGAAGGCAGTGAAGAGTTTGAAGGAGCAGCGTCAGGGTAGGAGGGACAGTACCGCCAATGCTTCTGAGAAAAAGAAAAAAGTATCTTGTGTTCTTCTGCCTCGAGTTTGTACCGAAATGCTGTTTCTAAAGGAGACGCGTGGGATGGGCTGTGACCCCACAGTGAGGAAAACACGAGGTCTCCCTTCCTCAAAGGGACCAACTGAACATAAAGACGGATCTGTAGAGAAAGATTTTACTGTGAATGTCTCTTTCAGGGCTCCTCTGCATTATTGTGAATATATTCTGGAAGGAATGGTACTCAAAGCTGCTTAGGAATCAAAACGTTCCCGGTGTGTTGATTGATCTATTAAATCTCTGAAACTGTGCGTGTGCTTTCCAAAAGTGTCAGTTACGGTGCATGAACTGTAACAGACCAACAGGTGACAGCCCTCTTGCTGAGGGTGGACTTTCTCCTGGGAGATGTGGGAGGGGTGGGGGAAGATGGCAAACAGGACCATATGTTGTCTCGACGCCAGCTCACCTCCGGGGGGGGGGGGGGGAAGTGACCTTGGCTACAGACGTGCCTCTTCCTGTGCAGCTCCATCGAATCACTCCAATGTGTCTTGGCACATGAAGCGGCGGCTGTGGCAGTTTTCACCAAGGATGGTTCTGTTTTCCGGGGCCCGGGGATGAGTTTGATCAGATTCACACACACGCTTTGGTCCCTCTGACCAAGAGCAGTAAGAAGTCTGATGGGCTAAGAGTTGTGCACTTTGTCAGTGGCCGTAACACCGGAACAACTAGCCTACACGGGAGATTACTCTGTGCCTGGAGGTATGCTGGCACTGCAGTTTGATCTATTGACAAAGCTAAAGGAAATGAGGGAGCTAGAATTCTCTGCTGGCCACTGTCGTGAGGTTGTATGACTCCGTAGTCCCTTCATTAACCTGGGGGGGTCAGAACACATTCCTTCCGGTCTGTTCTGCTCCGTTAGCAGCATGCTTGGGGATTGCCGGAAGTGAAATGATCTTATGCAATCTATTCCTTTAGACTGCTGAAGAGCTGAACAACTGGAATCTTTGTGACTGGTGTCTCTTTCTGGGTTATTCGGGGGAATCCATGCTTTCAAATATTCCTTTATTAGGATTAAGGCATTCTCCTATCTGGAGTCTCTTTCCACCTTTTCTTTTTTTAATGTTTATTTATTTTTGAGAGACAGAGAGCATGGGGAGGGGCAGAGAGAGAGGGAGGAAGAAGATCTGAAGCAGGCCCTGCACTGACAGCACAGAGCCTGATGTGGGACTCGAACCGATGAACCATGAGATCATGACCTGAGCCAAAGTTGGACGCTTAACTGACTGAGTCACCTAGGCACCCCTGGAGTCTCTTTCTTCATGCAAATCCCCCATGAACCTCTAGCAATCATTAATATACTTATATCCAGGAAAGCCCTGAGGAAATGAGGGCCCACAGGTACCTTTTAATAATCTTAAGGGGTGGCTGGAACCCCAAAACAGCATAAAACCTCTGGATGTTTAAAAAGAGGGGGAGGCCAAGGGCATAGGAGCTCAGTGAGTAAAGAAAACATATGGGAAATAGATGGTTCCAGAAGGCTAACTTGCCTATGGGTTAATGCCAGTGCTAAAGGCAGGCTTTTTACTCCAGTGAGGTAACATGGTTCCCAGCAGGACCTGACCACGTTAGTATTGCTTTTGTTCTAGGTGTGCCATGTTCTATTTACCGAATTATCAATCCATTCTAAAAGCAATTCGTCGCTGTGTATTCCTTTCAAGAAAAACTGCATCTGTGATGCTGTACCATATTCAAAGTTTTCCTGGTACTCACTTCCCTTGAAGTGCCTCATTTAGCTCTGTTGCTATGGGGGTTTTGGGTTGGAGAGTCTCAACTTGGCTTCGTCTTCCAGGGCTTAGGTGGACTCAATATTGCCAATATTCAGAGTTAAGGTTTGGGAGATGGTCTAAAAATGTATTCCACAAGAGTGAAAGTGAAGAAGGAAGAGATGGGCTGTAAGCAGCCAAATCTAAGAAGTGAGAGGATTAGAGTGTCTGTTTCCACAGCTTATGGGTGGGTGACAGGACAGCAAAGAACTTTCCCGGTGCGCTGTGCGGACAGTTGAGGAGGTGCCTTCCCTGGAGATTTTTCACAAAATGGGACATGGGTCCTCAACAGGGTGGTCCGGTGAGTAGCATGGGGCATCTTTCCCCGTCCAGAACACACGTGAAAACCGCAGATGCAAAGGATGCAAATGAGCCCCTGACCCCGCCCCTGGGCCGTTGTTGTCTGCCATTACAGGAAGTGCATGTCAATCAAAGCTTGACAGGGGAGATAGAGCATTTTATTTTGGAGCCAGAAGTTTGAGAACAATGACTGGAATTTCCTCTTTCTGTCCAGCAAGGGCTGTTTGTCACTGGGGAGATAAAAGTCCAGGGGTAGGGAATAAAGGTTATCGGGAACAGCGCAACACAGAGCCGCGTGGGGGGGCGCCGCGGGAGGAGGGGTTATGGAGGAAATCTATTTCAATGCCTGTCATTGAGTTTCCATTAAAAGAACATTCAGTTAGGAATTCAAAAATAATTTAATCTCCCCAGCCAGATGCACCCAGCTGGACTCCTTGGAGCCGAGCCCTGCAGACGGGGAGATTTGTACAGGGGCTGCAGGGACTAGAGTTGCATCTCGAACCAATACATCCTTGACTGCCCTGGCTGTTGTAGAAAACGTAGGTGGCTTTCAGACTACTGAGAAACCCAAGACCTGGGCTATAGCAGAAGAAACTTACCGTAGGGGCTACTTCCTGAGTTCCTTGTATGTTTCAGGTTCTGTTTTAAACATCTCATATACATTACCTTATTTAATTTCCCCAATGACTCTATGATTCTATTTTTGCATTTATTTTTCACTTGAGGCAGCTCAGGTAAGGAACTCGTCCAGAGTTACTAGCTGGTAAATGGCAGGGCTGGAATTCAAACCCTGAGCTGTCTTGAAAGCCCATGTGTTGAAAATCGTTCAAATCTGCATCCTAACACAACCTGCCTCTGAGGGGACTCACCAGGGCCATCAGACATTCACGTTGAACCCAAGGAGACTTGACACATATTCCTGGTCCTGTCTTACACTTTGGGAGAAACCCCTCATAGTTTAGCACAGAGTGGAGCCTCTGGCTAGTGCTTAATAAACACCTCTGGACTTACATGTTCTAGGAAGAGGTAGTGTTTAACCAGGGCCTCTGGATAATCTGCTAGGTTAGCATCTGGAAATATCCTGGGTACCCTGAAGATTTGGCTCGCCTGTTGGTGCAAACTATCTTTAGGCCTCCTGGGTATTGGATAGACTACGAGTTGGGGGAATTTAGGTAGAATCCTGGGGCCTGGGACTCCATTTCAACACAACAGCTGCTCGCGGGGGGCCTACTGTGAGCCAGGCACTGAGGATGCAAGAATGAGGAAGGAAGGGTGGTTTCTGCCACTGCTGTAACTGAGGGGCTCAAAGCAGCCTGGTGGGCATCAGCTAAATTGGAAAACTGCTGATTGTGGAGAAAGTAATTCCCTCCTCTTATGCAACATACATATAATAGTTTCCATAATGTGATATTGACATGACTGTTAACAATAAGACTACTGACTACCTTTCTAAAATGATTAAATCAGTTCTTGGGGGCGCCTGGGTTGTGGCTCAATTGGTTAAGCAGCCGACTCTTGATTTCTACTCATGGTCGTGAGATCGAGCCCCATGTCAGGCTCCCCCCTGGGCATGGAGCCTGCTTGGGATTCTCTCTCTCTCTCTCTCTCTCTCTCTCTCTCTCCCTTCCTCCCTCCCCCTCCCTTGCTCGCACTCTCTCTCTCTTTCTCAAAAACAAAACAAAAAAACCCAAAACAAAAAAAAACACCACAATTCTCTATAATATGTCCTTCTAGGGATGTGGAATCAACAAATGGTTTTAAAGTTACTTGAAGTAGTTCTTTTCTCTGTGGTTACATACCCACTTGAAATAGAGTTAGGTCCAATGGTTTCAGTTCATTTCCAATTATGAGAGCTTGTTTATTGTTTTCCTTTTTGATATAGCTGTTTTCTTAGATTAATTATGCAAAACAAAAATTTATGTGGTT